ATTAATTAGCTTTTGTATAGCCTTTATATTCCCATTTTATTATTAACCTAAAAATGGTTCTCTTACTAGGTTTCTAAGACTTACTACATAAAATTCATAAAAAATAATCTAATAAATAGTATAGTTGAATCCCAAAGAAATATTATATTAGGCCTAATACAAGATGTAATACTCAAGTGATGCAGAAAAACTGATTTTACTTCATTTACAATTATTTCCTGACACATGATACATCCGAATTTCCTAGAAATATTGTTAAATTTAGAGGTACTTTAGAAATTGTCTGGTCTAATATAATCCCTTCACCTCACAGATGAAAAAACCAAGGCTGTAAATTAAGAGACTTGCTGGGGAATCTAGCTGCAACAAGCCGAGTGTGACCCAGCACCCAGGTCTCCTGACCCTTCATGAATCCTTTGACTCTACCACAATTCATGTAAATGAGAAATGTTCTTTCAAAACATCCAGTCTTTTAGAATCATAAGCATGTTTCAATAATAAAACCTATAACTTTCATAGTACTTTACAATTTACATAGTACACTTGGTTTCCTGGAACCAATGCCCATGGATACTGAGTGACAACTGTATTTATATAGGCCTAGACATCAAATAGCCCTGGTATTTATGACTGTGTAGTGTCCTCCCTTTGAGTATGGACAGGACTTGTGACCTACTTGTAACCTAAAGGTGATAACAGGATGTCAATTCCAAGAGTAGTCACAGATGTGACTTTTGTTAGCAGTTGTCTAGTTGTCTCTCTTGCTGGCTTGGATGGAGCAAGCTGCCATATAGAAGAAGCCCACTTGGCAAGGTACTAGTAGTTGCCTCCATCCAATAGCTAACAGACATCAGGCTGACTTATGATGAAGTTTAAAAGCAGTTATGCTATTATAGTTGTTCCTACCCTGAGAAAACTAAAATAAAGATATACGTATTCTAAGAAACTAAAAGTTTCCTGACATTCAGGTAACCTAAAATTGTAAGCCATTTGATTCTCACACCACTGAGATACAGACTATGCAAATATTAACCCCAGTTTATAAATAAGAAAAACCAAGGCTCACAGCTTCAGTTACTTGCCCAAGGTATGAAAGGTGAACCCAAGACTAAAATTCATGTCTTCTGATTTTTAGTCCAGCATTTTGTACTTTACCTTGCCTGTAATAACTTTTATCTACACTGAATTTACATTAATATAAAATATTCATCTATATAAAATTTTACATACTTACCTCATGCAGAGAGAACACTCAAAATCTGAGACATCTATTAATTCTTCTGGAATATCGCCATAAGCTAACGAAAACACACAGACTTCACTGGGAGTCTCTATTAAAACAAATAGGGTTTTCTTCTTAAGGAAAATGCTTAAAGGCCTTTCCAAATAAATAAATTTATTTTATATAACAGTAGAGTGAAATTTTTACCTCCTTGTTTTTTAAGCTTATTTCTTCCATCTTCATTTACAATCACATCCTGTTCTAAAAGAGACAACTTTCTTTTCAGCAGAACACCTTTTTCTCGAACAGACAGTAAAGGTTCTGAGGACACCCTTTTTAACCAATCCTCTGTGGCAGGCATTTCTGTTGAATTTATAGACTGTGCTGACTGAGCACGGTTTAAGCTTCCTTTGACAGGCTCTGAAGTGACCTCTGGTATTTCTTCACTCTACAAAAATACAATAAACAAAGGTAACTGTATTTCTTTACTATCCTTTATTCCTTTCACCAAGAATCAAAGTGAAATGAAATTTTAGTGCCTTATAATGCTCACTTTAATGTTCATTTAACAGCACAAACTTTTAATTCCAAAACCATGACAAATAAATGATTTTTGCCAGTATAGTTGGCCCTTCACATTTATGGGTTCTGCATCCATGAATTCAACCAACCAGGGATAGAAGATACATATATATAAAAAGTCTGAACATGTACAGATGTTTCTCTTGTCATTATCCCCTAAATAATATAGTATAATAATTATTTATATAGCATTTACATTGTATTAGGTAATATAAGTAATATAGAGATGAATTAAAGTACACAGAAGGATGTGCATAGGTTATATGCAAATACTATGCCATTTTGTATCAGGGACTTGAGCATCTGCACATTTTAATATTGGCAGGAGGTTCTGGAACCAATCCCCGTGGATACTGAGGGACAACTGTACTTATACAGCCCTAGACATCAAGCTGACTTATGACGAAGCTTAAAGCAGTTATGCTATTATAGTTGTTCCTACCCTGAGAAAACTAAAATAAATACAAATATCTACATACTCTAAGAAACTAAAAGTTTTCTGACATTCAGGTAACCTCGAATTGTGATTGATAAGCAAATATTTCACAGAAAAGGTTTTAGTGTAAAATAAAAGGCTACAAAGTCCTATTCAGATAACTAAACAGGTTAAAAGTATTTAAATAGGTTCTAGTACTTAAAACTAGAAAAGTGAAGAACTATTTTTTTTTCTTTTTTAAGAAATGGGGTCTTGCTGTGTCACCTAGGCTAGAATACAATGGCATGATCATAGCTCACTGCGGTCTCGAACTCCTGAACTCAAGCAATTCTCTTGCCCCAGCCTCCTGAGTAGTTGGGACTACAGGCACATGCCACCACACTCAGCTAATTTTTTTTTTTTTAATTTTTTGTAGAGATGGGGTCTTGCTATGCTCCCTGGGCTGATCTAAACTCCTGGGCTCAAGCCATCCTCCCACCTAGGATTCCCAAAGTGCTAGGATTACAGCCATGAGCCACTATGCCTGGCTGAAAGTGAAGATCTTTACCTGAAAAGAAATAGATACACTAAACCCATGATAATCTCTTCTTATTCCTTACCTGCTTTGGGCTAAGCTCAATGGGAGAGTGAGACTCTTCCATTACTGAAGGAAAACCAAAAGGTTTGTTTTTAACACATGGTAATGAACTCCAGGAGGATTCCTTCAGGCCTTCTTTTAAGTTTTCAGGTGATAATAAATCACATAAAATCTGCAAGAGAAATATTAAAAGTAATGGAGAATACAACATATTTGGTTAAGGATAATTTAGTGTAAATTTACCTAGTATTTAAGAATTTTTAGAAAGCTTGTAGTAGACATTATTTTTTAACGATCAGTAGAGGAACAAGTTGAGCAATACAGTAAATACAGTAAGGTTAAAAAGTCTTGCAAAACCACGGTGTGCCTCATGAGGTCAAATCACCTCAAAAAAAAAAAAATCGAAAACTTTAAAAGGAAGGCATGGGAGTGGTTAGACTCAGGGTAAAGGTTGACCTTTTAATATAAGAATTATAAAAATAAAAGCTTTTAAAAGAAGTATAAAAAATTTACCTCTGAACATTAATGAGCCCTATCCTGTCAAAACAGTTCCTAGTTCACCCCAATGTATATTTTAAGATTAGACTTAGAGTGTTTATGTGAACTACAGAACTTGGACCTCTAACTACAGAAATCGAAAACTCCCTGTGTTTACACTGAATTTAGCCTCTTCCTGAACACCTAACCTGTGAGGGCAGTCACCAGCACTTGGTTGGGACAGCATATGGCAGTGTCCCTATAATAACTGGGAATTAACTTGGGAGATAGCTGGAGGATAAAATTTCTAGAGGCTTATAACGGGAATACACCTAAAACTCTGAAAGAAACAGGGTAGGTTAAGACAGGGGAAGAAGAATTTTCTTCTGGCTAGAAGAAAATTCCACTCCTAGGTGTTTGCCAAAAGGATGTAAAAACATGTCCACAAAATGACTTGTATGAGAATGTTCCTTAAAAAAAAAAACAGAATGTTCACAGCAGCTTTATTCATAACAGTAAAAAAAAAAAAAAACTGGAAACAATCCAAATGAAAATCACTACTAACTGAACACCACAAATTGCTGCATGTTCATATTACAGAATACTTAGTCAACAATAAAAAAAGAAAAAAATTACTCAATGTATCTCAAAAATATTACATTGAACAAAAAAAGTCAGACACAAAAGAATACATACTGAGTCCATTCATATGAAGTTCTAGAACAAGCAACACTACTCTATGATGATAGAAATCTGAATAGTGATTGTCTCCAAAGTAGGGGATAGAGGATTTACTGGAAAGGAGATGAAGGAACTTTCTGGGGTGATGGAAGTATATTTTAATTGGCACACCATTATATAGGTATATACTCTTTTCAAAACTCACTGAACTGTAAAATCCATGCATTTTATGTAAATTATACTACAATTCACAAAAAGGATATTGGGGAAAAGTAAAATATTTTAAAGCATCATTTGTTTTACATTCATGTGACCTTGTTACCCTGCAAACAATTACAGAACTATAAGAATATACAGCAGCATGAAAAATGCAAAAAAACATATTATGCACTTAAACAGTTTGCAGTCTCACCAGGGAGATAACACTAGCAAACAAAGAATAGTCAGAAAACAGACAACAGCAATTTTTTATTAATCAGTGGCTAGAAAGCATACGTAAACGAACCTCATAAAGGATATAATAACGTTAGTTGGATTCTTAAGGGAGTTGAGATCTACGAAAAATTTCACAATTCTCTTACTTCAGGGTACACAAACATCTCCCGAGATGCTTGAAAAACTATTGCCTTGATTTCAGAGATTGTGATTTCAAAGTCCTATCGTCCACGGGGCCCAGGAATCTTTATGTTTAACACACACCCCATGTGAAACACTACAGCAGTGATAAATAACGTGGCATGTTTTGAAGATGAGGACAGCACCATGACTGGGACCCTAAATTTGTACGAGGGTAGATTTGTTTCAAAGAATTTTTCAAAGACCCTATTCTTTCCAGATACTCTGTGAGTAAGTTTGACAAAAACTGAATGCTATTTTTTTTTCATGCTGGCATATCAAATACTATGAAAAGTTCTGAAGAAACCTGTTTAACTTGTTTTAACCCAATGTTTCCCAAAGTCATTTGATCAAAGAACTCCCTTCCTTTTTTGTTTTTTGTAATTAACACCTAACACACCATACATATAACAAACTTTGGAAAGTGATAAATGGAGTATCAAGAAAAATAAGGCAAAACAAGCTGACTGGGGCTACAGTATTGGCAATCATGGGAAGTAAGCAAAATTTAGACCTGAAGTGAAAGGCAACGGCAGGTCAGTACTATCCCTGAGCAAGAACACCATGACAGCAACGTTTAATAAGGACCATCAGTCTGGCTTGGATTGAACAAACTATTAAGGAACTAAATTAACTGAGTAAAAATTTTGCATTGAAATATCTGTGAATGAAATGGTTTGATTTCACTAAGAACTCAATATACTTATATAAACCTGAAAACCACTTGTCAAATTGCTCCCAAGTTAGATTTATTCACTTCCTATGTTGTTATTCCAATTTTCTACTTAGCATTTTTTAAAAAACACGTGTCTTTGCCCTGCCTATAACCAAATAGTTGGTAAACTGATTACCTTTTCTACTTGTAGCTTTGCAGGTGCAAAATCTTCATCAAGGGCTAAGCACTGAAGAAAGAGTTGTAAGGCATCACCTAAAAAACCAGCATCGTGGAGTACTTTTCCTTTCCTGTAGTAGACCTTCAATAAAAGCACATATACAAACACTTATTATTGGTTTTTTAAAAAAAAAATCATTATCAAGTAAAGAAAAAAAAATAGTCTGCTCAGAAATGCTAATTTTGAAACTGTGAATGACTCTGAGGAGGCCAAGGCATTTTAAAGGCATAGCCACACACTACCCTGGAGAAGCACTAAATGGGAAAGTGAGGCCCAGACAGTGACTTAACCAAAGCTCCACAGCAAGTCAGAGCTTGGCAAGACCAGAAATACCATGTTCCCTCACTTTTAAGAAATCATTGATTTAAATATTATTGATGTAATAATAGCTGTTTAAGGAAAAAAGGAAATAATGTGTAAAGTTATACTGACTTTAAGATGCATCAATATAAAGAAACATTAAAAATGTGAAAAAAAAAACTATTTATCTTAGATTTAGGGCAATACGGTAAATGTCTTCCAAGTCATTAAGAATGTGTATTTGCCTATATTATTTCTTAAGAAAATACTTATGATACTTTTCGTAAATCCTTATTTTGCCTTTTATTTCTCGCCCTCATGATATGAGTTCAGTAAGCTCTATGACAATAATTGGAACCCTACTAATCATCACTGATAAACCAAAAATTCAATCTGTGGGTCAATCCACCAACAAAGTGGCAAGAACTTAGTATTAAATAACATCAGAGGAGCCTAAACAATGTTCTAGTCAAACAGCTTTTTAGCTACTGTTTCAATGGCTGAAGAAAACCACGTTTCTGATTACATCACTTCAGTGATAAGTTTGGAGAGTTCTTTCCTTTTTAAGTTTTAAAGTTAATCATACTGATCACTGCCTCCTTATTCTTAATACATATTTGCTTTGTACTAACCAGTCATGCCATCACAGAATTTTGTATCATTTCCTAATTAACTTATAATTTTCAGAGCATCCTTACACTGTCCTCAAAGGCATAGTTTTGAATGGAGGGGAAAAAGTCACGTAAAAGAGTAATTTGTATCTTAAAGAACACATACGAGAGACAGACTGGTTTGCCTTGGCAATTTGATAAAAAGGAGAATTAGTAAACTGATTATATGTTATACATGTCCTTCAAGTCTTTTTTTTTTTTCTTTTTTAGAGACAGGGTCTTGCTCTGTCACCCAGGCTGGGGCTGGAGTACAGTGGCACAATCATAACTCACTGCAACCTCAAACTCCTGGGCCCAAGCAATTCTCTTGCCTCCTGAGCAGCTAGGACTACAGGCACTTGGACACCACACCCAGCTAATTTTTCTTTTTTTTTGTAGAGACAGGGTCTCGCTATGTTGCTCAGGCTGGTCTCAAACTCCTGGCCTCACTTCAAGTCTTTTTAAAAACCATATGGGTAAGGCAACCTCCTTTGCCCCCATCTTCTGTGTTAAATCACTGCCTAATCACCTAGTTGCCATTATAAATGCTTCAAACAATCTTCCAACCTCAAGGACCCATTTTGTTTCTATTAATAAACCTCCTTCACTGAAGTCCAGTTTGAATCTACCTTCGCAATAGATGGCAAGTTGTGTTTCTTTGTAGAAATTTTATACAATAATGGGTTTTTCTGTGCCATGAATTGTTTGTTCCTTA